TTGGCTTTCTATAATGAAAATTATTTATTTTATTTGATATTTTTGCATTTATGAATTTTTTTTAATTATAGATGTTAAATCTCTTCGTTATGGATGTGACAGATGATGAATTGACACTGTGGAGACTTTGATAAATCAAATAATATCGTTTAAAGGGCTACAAAACCCCCATTTCAGCAGGGTGCTTTCACAACTCTAGTTTGGAAAAAGTCAGGAAAGTGGGCGTGTTTAGGGGGGGGAGTGTTAGGAAGGGGTAAGATTTAAGGTGCATCAAAACTGCATAAAAATGGGAGTTTCTGGCAAGCACTGATTTTTGCAGTGGCAAAACAAACACACAGACGCAGGGGAGAAAGACTGACTGCATTTACATGGAAATCAGTAATCAAAATATTTGCCAAATAATTAAATAGTGGACTTTAACTGCAGTTTGGCACTTTCATTCAGGAATTTCATGCATGCTCCCATGACAAACGAGATATATGATGCGAGAAACTGCTGGAAGAGTGTAGTTTTAATAGGATGTTTGATACAACACGACAAATGGGAGAAAACAAAACCTCCCTATTTCTCAGATGCACTGGGTATATAGTGTCAGAAAGCCATGTGTGTATAGACTATCCTGTCACATAATGCGGCGAAAATCCTACACGATGGTAATAGTTTGATTGCGGTGTTTATAAGTTTACACTCGAAGAGCTGCATTTACAACGGATCTTTCAGTCCATAATATTGTAGTGATATTAACGTACTGTAAACTTTAGTAAGTTAGAAATCATTTTGACTAAGATGTGTCTTTAAACACAGAAAGAGTACTGCTGATGATTGTAACTTTGTCATCTGACTAAACATAAACAACGACACTGATTACATTCTTACCAAATCTGTAAAGACAGAACAATCAACACCAACTGGAACCGCGTCTTTTTTTAAAAGAAGACGAGCGGCAAATCCGTATTTCACCGTTTTCAGATGCAAAAAGCTCTCAGGTAAAAAATGTTCTTTAAAAATGTATTTCTGCCGCATGCTGCGTGCACTGTAATGCACATGTGAGTCCAGCTGCACTCTCATAGCGAGAAATGAAAACAAAACCTTTGTTGCAGCAAATTTATAAACACAACAATGACAACACATGTCTCCAAACAATTCTTCTTTCACTTGTTTTGGCAACACAACGTGTCATCTCACTGGCGTCTGAACGTCTTCGAAGCTATCATGCATATTAATGAAGTTGCACCGCATTCACAAATGAGCGCGCTGATTGATTTGAACCAAGTCTTTTTCATGAATAAATGCTGCACACTCAGAGACGTCACAATGTACTCCCAGGTACAGACATCCACTCTCCACACTGGAATACACACAAGGATCTAATTGCTGTGACGCAGCTTCGAAAATTTGTTTTAAACCAAAAGAACGAATTTGCTAAAATAATGCAAAGACTGCCAATTTTTGCTTTTCTTTTTTGTGAAATAAATGTGTCCTAATAGTGTTTTTAGCAGCGTGGGACACATATATGACTGTCAACAGCTGAAAAAAAAATGTGTTTTGGTGTTTCGTGACCCTTTAAAATCATTGACAGAGACGTCGTCTGTTTTTAGCACTGTAAAATACAATCCTACACAAACAACTTAGAAATGGTTTTGCCATTTTGGTGAAAACTAATTTTTCATGGCAATGTTGACATTTGGATGGAATTGCTCCAATTTAATTTATTATTTTTATAGAAATTGAGATTTATACATAAGCTTGATGTATTGTTTGTTAGGATAGGACCCAATTTTGCCAATATATAACTATTTGTTTAAAAACAAATCTGAATATTTTGATGAAATCACTTTTAAAGTTGGCCAAATAAAGTTCTTAGCAATGCAAAAACGAAAGTTTGATAAAGTAATAACTTTACTAAATATTCTTTATTGAACATGATTCTTACTTAATATCAAAAACCAATGATACCAATGATAAAAACCAAAACAAGTTATTCTGACCAAATTTTTGTAGTCCAAAATCACATAATTAGGACGATCCACTGACTTATAATAAGTAGCACAACAACAAAAAAAAGGCTTTGTATGAGTTAATATGAATGCTCTTAAGAATGAATAATACCCCAGAGAAGATACGTATATGGTGGGAAAGAGTGTGAATTGGGGGTAAAAGAGGAACAGGGACGTCAGTCAGCTCCCAGTAAACGGCATTAGTCATTGAGTCACCGTCACAGGACGTCCTTCCTTCACAGGATGAGAGCGAGGGGAAGACGCATCAACATGTTCACTTTCCTCTTCAAACAAGACCCTACCTCCGGGGCTTTGGGTCAAAACAGTTGTGTGTTGTGCGTCTCAACAATTCAAAGACTATTTTGGTCACATTAGTGGTGCGAGGGGGACTGTGTTCTAAACAAATGTTTTTTGAGTAAATGATAGCGGTATTCAAATATCCATCTTTGGGGATTTCTGTATCTTGTGGCATACGTTAGGATTTTTTAAAAATATATTTTTGTCTATTCAATAAAAAATACAAATTTAAATTAACGATTAAGGGTGGTTACTGGAAAATCTTAAGTTTTGTTATTTCAATTTGATGTGTGTGTGTGTGTGTGTGTGTGTGTGTGTGTGTGTGTGTGTTTGTGTGTGTGTGTGTGTGTGTGTGTGTGCTGTTTTGCTAGATTAACTATTAACTTTTTTGTCAACAATAAAAAAGGTTAAAAAAAAAAACTTTAACGCAATATTTTTAAGTTATTTATGCACTGTAAAACCTAACAGTGAAAATTACTAATGAAATAAGTTAGTTTACCTTGCAATTTAAATAAAATTACTTTGACTTATTGAAAAAGAGTGATGGTGAAGCATAAGCTTATTACATTAAGCAGAATTCAAACCTAATGAGTTACGAATTAACTGATTATATTTTTTTACTCCAACCATTTGAGTATCTATATAGTTGTTTGGACTTAATTTGCTCTGAACTCATACTGATTTAATAACTCAACTTAAAATGTTTAAGTTACTAATACTATAAATGTTTAACAATATCAACACAAATAATATATATATATATGTATGACTGTATACATTTATACAAGTTTAAAGTACTCAAACCACTTTGTTTCAAAACTTAGTTTGGCACAAAAGATTTCCTCAAACAGTTTGAGTTAACTTATATTTATCTAATATTATATTTGTATTAATTTCTACTTAACATATCAGGTTTTACAGTGTGTTGTTTTTTCTACAGAGTGTGTGTCAGTGTTGTCTCACTATATCAAGTAAACTTGATTTATTTTTTTAAAAACAAATCAACATAAAAAAGGTAAAATAACGTTTAACACAGTTAAGTTATTTCTGCACTGTAAAATCTAACGGTGTAAATCACTAAATGAAATAAGGTAGTTTAACTTGTCATTTAAAATTTTTTTTTACTTTGACTTAATTAAAAAGAGTGATGGTGACGTATTAAGCAGAACTCAAACCTGATGAGCTATCAATTAATTACTATTTTTGTTTGCGCTAGCTTAACTCTAATATCAAGCCATTTGAGTAGCTTCATAGTTGTTTGGACCTAATTTGCTCTGAACTGAACTCATACTGATCTAATAATCTCAACTTAAAATGTTTACGTTACTAATACTTTAAATGTTTAATAATATCAACACAATATATATGTATATACCTCTCTCTCTCTCTCATATTTGTGTTGTTTCCAAACCTCAGTTGATTTTCTCAAACAGTTTAAGTAAACTTATCAGGTTTTAAAATGTGTGTGTGTGTGTGTGTGTGTGAGTGTGTGTGTGTGTGTGTGTGTGTGTGTGTGTGTGTGTGTGTGTGTGTGTGTGTGTGTGTGTGTGTGTAAAATTGATTTCTTAAACACAAACTGTTCTTGTTCTTTTAAATATTTTATAGCTTTTTTTAAAGTTAATTATGCTCTTTCTCTTCAGTGTGTTTGTGTGTGAATGGCAGTGGCGTCATTGACAGCATATGTTTTTAGTTCAATGTTATTTGTTAAACATGTTAATCATGTTTAACTTAATTTTATAAGTTACGCAAGCTGTTTTGAGTCAGTTTTACATAATATGTTCAATGGATTTTTCAATTCAATTCAGCTTTATTTGTATAGCGCTTTTACAATGTAGATTGTGTCAAAGCAGCTTCACAGAAATGGTCGTAGTAAATTGGAACAGAGTAGTTCAGTTTTTAGTGTTTAAGGACTCGAGGTTCATTTGATTCAGCCTAAAAATGTACAACCAGGATTTTTACTGCGTGACCACATAATGAAAAAGGATTAAAAAATTATATAAAACAGAAAAAAGTCAATTTAAATGAACCTTTGGGAATTTTAGGGAATTCACAATCTTTAAAATTAATTATGTTGTTTCTCTTTAGTGTGTGTGTGTGTGTGTGCGTGTGTGTGTGTGTGTGTGTGTGTGTGTGTGTGTGTGTGTGTGTGTGTGTGTGTGTGTGTGTGTGTGTGTGTGTGTGTGTGTGTGTGGCACAAATGTAATTGTCACATCAACTAAAATGTTTTTTTTTCCATAAAACTATTCTTGTTGACATAAAAAAAATTTATAAAATTCTTGAGATTTTATAAAAGGGATAAGAGGAGAGACATTTAGTGTGGTTACAGCTAATTAAAGCATAATACAAGTTAATTATGTTATTTCTCTTGTGTATGTGTGTGTGTGTGGCAATGGTGTAATTAACACATCAACTAAAATGTGTTTACTTTTTTTTATAAAGGAATAAAACTGTTATAAAAAGGGGGAAATACTTTTAAAAATGAATGTGTGGAGATTCATGCCAAAATTGTGTTCAAGTAAATTATGTCATTCCTCCTCAGTGCCTGTGTGTGTATGTGTGTGGGGTGGTGGAGTAATTGTTAGATCATGTACTCTTGGGGGTGGAGTCTGCGACACTAAGGTGGGACTAGATTTGTGGGCAGGGCCAAGTGCCTTCAACAAGTCAGACAAACATGCTCAGGCAGTCAGTCAATCTCAGGCACTTGCAGGAGAAGTCACTTACCATCTGGACTAGCAGTGGGACAAGACAGGCGAATTGTGAGCTGCACCTGTCCCATACACACACTCACACACTCAGGGGAGAGATCACACACAGCCTCTATGTGTGGCTGGGACCAGAGCGTCCTGGTAAGTGACACTTACTCTGAATTTATGCGTATGGGTTTATTAGAGCTAATTGTTTTAGTTTTTCTATCAGATATTTACTGGTTTTAGTGGCGATTTAGTGATGTTAGGTGGTTGTTAATTAAGTATGCTATAGTTTTATTTTTTATTTTTTGTTAAATTCTTGGTTTCGACAAGCATTTCTGATTACATTAAATTATTTAAAACAATGCATCTTTTGTGTTCACTGACTAGTCGGAATTAAATATAAATCGAGTTATTTTTTAAGTAACTTATTTATTTTAGGATTTAAAAATAAACTTAAAAGAAACTTAAAAGTACATATATTAAAAAATGTAAATATATATGTATGTATTTATGTATTTTTTACAAATAGAAACATATAAACATACTTACTTATACATAAGTTTAATATGCATACATCTGATTTCCATGTTTATTAATGTTTGAGTTTTGAGTTTCACTATGAGTTTTGCTTCTACAGATGTCCTACGCACTACTTTCTAACAAAAAAAAACTATTTTCTAATCTTTTTGTGTGTGTGTGTGTGTGTGTGTAAAAACTTAGTATAAAATACAAGTGAAATAAAAACTATGACTCAAATTTGTTTTGTAGACATTTTTCATTACTGAACACTGAAAAAAAAATCAAATATGATTCTTTAGATTTACTTAATTTATTTATGTTGAGTGGTTGTAAACACATTATTTGGACTGAACTTAAACAAACAAATTAAGTTGAACATTACTAAATTTAATTTGTTTGTTTAAATTCAACCCAAATAAAAGTTTTGCAGACTTTTTTTTTTTTCAAAACATGAACTTCTATTTATTTATATAAAGAGTTTTTTTTTTGTTTTTATAATTTTACAAAAGTGAACTACAAATCTGTAATTAGGTATACTTTAATAAAACATTTGGTCACACTTTAGTTTAGGTCATACTTAATGCTATTAACAACTCATTAACTAACACTACTAACTTAATAAACGACTAATTAGCTGTTTATGGATGGTTAGTAAGGTAGAACGTGGGTTTATGTTTTTGGTACAATTAGGGATCTTACTTTAAAACTACAAATGAACAGTTGATATTGAATTACCAGCTTGGCAGTTCTAGTTTTAATATCTAATCTGATCTTTTATAATAATGAATAATAACCAATAATAACTCCTTATTAATCTGTGGTATTTTCATCCACAACAACATTGTGAGCTTTTATAAAGACTGGTTTGATCATCTGCTAATACTCCAGTAGTTAATAGCATGAATTGTGACCTAAACTAAAGTGTTATCAAACATTCTCAGGACGTTAGTTTTGATTATTAGCATACTTCTTAATGTTTTGGCTTGTAAATATTGGTTAAACACTGAATGTAATGCTATGCGGGGAAAAAAACTATGTTTTTCTGGTTGTCTCTGGTTTTCTCACACTCATTCTCTGGGACGGATTGATGGTTCTTTTTGCTCTGCCACTCTGATTCCAATTTTAGCTACATTCAGATGTAGACGGGACTTCCTTCCTCTGTTTTCCTCCATTTGTAACTATTTTTTCACTCAGGGAGGAAAACAGGGAGAGGGGAAAGAGGTGCGAGGGATAGATGATAGACACAAATAAAGAGTAGGAATTGAAAAGAAAGATCAAAATACCAGTTGTCTTTTAGTTTCTTGAAGGAACGATTTTTCTCTATGTGGAAGGGAAGTTATTATTTGTTTTGTAAACAAACAAGTTCCGTTTTTGTTGGAAAAATAGTTCAATTTGAGATATTTGTTTAGGAAACATGAATTTATGTGGACCATTATTTAAAGCAACACTGGGGTTTATGTGCACTGTAAATGCTCAAATGTAAAAATGCTGGGTTCCACACAATCAATTTGTGTTGGGAAAACATGAAGGAATTAAGTTAACTTATTAGTTTTTACATATTTTAGTGGATTAAACACAAAACAATTAGGTTGTCCTAAAAAAACTCAAAAGTTGTGTTCTTTTAGCTTATTTTAAATAAGTCGTTTGAACAAACATGATTTTTTTATGTTTATAGAAAAAAAAATCAGATTTTCTGAAGAAATATTTAAACTCAAAAAATAATTTTTCCTTTAGTACAAAATAATATATCAATATCATAAAGACAGTTTTGGTAACACTACTTATTACTAGCTTATTACTTGTCTATTATTTAAATATTACCCGTTTATTAGTAGCTAAAAAGTATGATCTTATTCTCAATTACTAATCCTAATTCAAAAATGTCAGTAACATTTTAGTTTAGGTCACAATTCACAGTATTAACGAAGCATTTACTAACACTACAAGCCTAATAAACTACTAATTACCTCTTTATTATTAATAGTTAGTAAAGTAGTTGTTGAGTTTAGATATTGGATAGGATAAGGGATGCAGTATAAGCCTATAATATACAGTACAGTATGTAGCCATAAAGTAGGATCTTATTCTCCATCCCTAAACCTACCTAATACCCAAACATCAGTAACACTTTAGTTTAGGTCACAATTCATGGTATTAACAAACCATTTACTGACACTAACCTTTTATATAAACTACTAATTAGCTCTGTATTATGAATAGTTAGATCCTGGGTTTAGGTTTTAGGTAGGATTAGGGATGCAGTATAAGATTATACTTTATAGCTATATACAGTTATAAATACAAATAAACATACAGTAGTATAGTTATATATACCTCATTACAGTTATATATACCAATATACAGTTCATATCTTAACAATAGGCAGGTAAAAAGGCAGTAGTAAATAGCATGAATTTTGACTTTATCTAAAGTGTTACCCAAACGTCTACCTTACTATTATTACGCTGCTAATTAGTAGTTTATTGAGCCTTAAGTCTTATTAAAGTCTATTCAGTCTTAGTTAAATGTGAATAGCAACTTCACGTGTTACTCAAAAGTAAACACCAGTTTACATATTTCAAGCTTTAAATGGGTAATCACAAATAAATCAGTGTTTTCTTCTCTTTTCTGGTCATTAAGAAAGTTTGAAAGTTAAATAACTCAGCCTTTAAATGAGTAATCGCAGACTATCTGATAAACCAACATGTGCCTTTTTCCTTTCCTCAGGCTCCTTATCAAAACTCGGCTATGTTGACTACTGAGGCAGCACCCTACACCGCTGACAATGAGGAGCTCAAGATGGATGTAGAGGATGTAGACATGACAAAATGGACGGAGGACGAGTTCGAGGAGAAATGCACATACATTGTGAAAGACCACACCTGGGAAGGACCACTGGAGAACACGGACCTCACCCGGGCTGAGGCGTCTTTACCTAGAAACCTGGCTTTTAAGCACCCGGCAGACTCCAAAGAGGTATGACACCATGCTCGCGCGCCGTCACATATTACGCATGATGTACTCATGGCCTCGAGGCTTCCTTTTTGAAATGTGCCACAAGACTCATTGGGTTACAACGGCAGTCCTGCGGGCCATCTGCTAATAATTGTTGTCTGCCTGTATGAGTGTGCTGATTGTAAATCTACAAAACTGCCTAGCGCTTTCAAACTTTGGATGGTTGTGATTTCTGTTTGAACAGGATTTCCATTAAGCCCCACCTATGCTGATGCATTAATCTTTTCTTTTTTTTATCTGCTCTGTCAGCCCAGATTTTAAACTTGTTTTGTGGAACAAAAAAAAAAAGTCCCTGTCTGTGTCTGTGTGCTTAATTTCTTACTCGGCTAACGCAAACATCCATAGATCAGAGCACCACATGACAAGCTCCTCAAGAGTGCAAAAGTTGAGCTCTTTGCCATCTATCAAAGCTGTTTTATCTGAAGCAGACTGCCATGTCTGTGTCCATGACAATCCACAAACACTACTTTCCACCTTTCTTGGCGCTAATGACGGCAGGAGCTTTGAATTGGATTAAGCCTCAGTTATTTTGAAAGTGTTTATAGATCAATAGGAACAGGGTTATAGATTTTTTCATCATGCGCTCTGTCTGTCTTATCTCTTCCTGTGAGGGGAAAAAAAGCGAACCCTTTTTTTTTTTTACGAGCACGCACTTATGAGGTGATAAAGAGTTAACCTTCTTTCTTCAAGAAACACCTGAGGTTCAAACAGGAAGAGAGTGAGTGAAGTCATGTGCTCACAGAGGAAGATTACCTTGATCAGAGAGTATTGATGAGGAGAGTTGAAAAAGTAATCAGTCTTCGGAGGAGTTTGAGTAAGAGAGTTGGATAGGAGATCCAATCTTTTGACTCAATTGTCAAGATTCAATTGAAACTAAACGTTTGTGTTTCCTAAACACGACTGTTTTGCTGTAATTGTGTGATTCGGTATTCTAATCAAAGTTAAAAGGATAGTTCACTTAAAAATTGAAATGCCCTGTTCTAAAACTTTCTGGCTGCGTCAGAATTTGTGAATACTTCCATACTATATAGTATGCTAAAATCATTAAGCGAGTTGAGTATAATGTCCGATTTCATAGAATTTGAAATCAGTATGCGAGATTCGGAAGTGTGCCGAACTACTTCCGGTGAGATTCTGAAGTGTGCCGGACTACTTCCGGTGAGATTCTGAAGTGTGCCGGACTACTTCCGGTTAGATTCTGAAGTGTGTCGGACTACTTCCGGTGAGATTCTGAAGTGTGCCGGACTACTTCCGGAGAGATTCTGAAGTGTGCCGGACTACTTCCGGCGAGATTCTGAAGTGTGCCGGACTACTTCCGGTGAGATTCTGAAGTGTGCCGGATTACTTTCGGTGAGATTCTGAAGTGTGCCGGACTACTTCCGGTTAGATTCTGAAGTGTGCTGGACTACTTCCGGTGAGATTCTGAAGTGTGCCGGACTACTTCCGGTTAGATTCTGAAGTGAGCATCCTATGCGCTATTCCATAATGCCTCACAAGAGAATTCATGAATAAAAGTGAGTCAATACAACTCACATGGGTACTGTAGGTCATGTAATCATGACAAAATGGTGGATGTAGTACGTCCGAGTTGCATTCATAATGTATAGAACATTCTTTTCTAACAGTCGAGTAGTACATTTAAATTTAAATGCAGTACCTACTGCGTAGTAGGTGGTTTGTGGCGCAGTTGTTGAGCACAAAAGCAGATATCTTGATAGTAGGAAAGGTTTGTATGATTCCTGTAGTTGGAAAAACAAATACTTTGGAAGTCTTAGGTTACAGGTATTCATCAGAAAAATCTTTTCAGTTCAGCAGAACGTCAAACAGGTTTTGAAGGGTGAGCAGATGACAACAGAATTTTCAGTTTTGGTCTGAACTATGCTTTTAAGCTTTGGTGTTTTCCTTGGAAGAAGTGTCTGTTCGGTTAATAAGAGGTGAAGTGGGACAAACGATTGGTCTCTCTCAGCCTTAGGACACAACCTTGATGACCTTTAAGCTTCCTGTGGTTGTCAGAAGAGGTGAGGGCTGAAGAGAGGCATGGCTCCATGTCTTTCAAGTGCGCACATCTGGCTGACTGTCAATTAATTACCTCTCACTCGCACATACTCAGTATGCCTTGTTAGCACTGCAGAAATCACATCTCCGAAAATGATCTGAAAGTGCACATGAGACTCTGTAAACTCCTCGTTTCCTAACCACCTGTTTTCCCCTTTTGTTCGAACAGGTTATTGGTGTAGTAAGCAGAGAATACATCCCTAAAGGCACGCGCTTTGGCCCCCTTGTGGGAGAAAGTTACACTGCAGAAAATGTCCCCAAAGATGCGAACAGGAAGTACTTCTGGCGGGTGAGTTGTTTTGTTTCTGAACATTTCAAGTAGCAGCAGATAAAAGAAGAAGAAAGAAATACATACTGGGTCACTTCCTGTTCCACTGACTGACTTCCTATGTGACATCATGGGCTGGAGGGTTATGTAGAAGCAGTCAGTTTATGTTCTCAGAGCGATCAGAAACTGCTGAGTAAAGATCTGCTGTTTTGGGAACTGCACTGGCGTTGAATGACTGAGACAGCAGCGATTCGTTCCATGTACTGATATCTTTATTTGACTGTGCAGCGCTCTGAGCGTTTGGGACAGGAAGCGCTGTATGACTCTGCAGATCTGCTACTGTGAATTTAGCCTTTTTATGAATATGTCGGCTTTGATAGATCATCTGTGTCACAATGCATTTGAGGAGTGATAAGAGAAATCAAGATGCAGCATCACAGTTGTTGTGTCACTACCATTAAAAACGATCCGTTTCCCTCACTCCTTTGTGACTTGCAGCTGTTGTCTACAGCTGTCGTCACGGAGAAAGTGCAAAGTCAACCCGCTTGTTTATTTTCTGTCACTTCCATGTTGCTGCCAAATCGAAGATCCCCAAGTGGAACAACTCTGGTCTTTACCTACTAGAAACAGCAGTGATATCATTCTTTCCTGTGTTACTGTCAGTCCTTCGCAGAGCAGGTGATTACAGAGTCATTAGTGAGAACTCGAAGCATTGAGAAAAAGCGCTAAAGGAAGCGTAGTGTTGATGTTTCAGAGGGAAACCTTGTTTGTGACGTCTTGAAAGTGTTCCTGGAACTTGCAGTCTTAGTGTAAACAACATATTGAGACAGGCGTCCCCCTACCAAACTTCAGTCAAGACCTAAGCCCGCATCAGAGCTCTGAATGGAGATACTCAGAGATTGTGAATATTAGTGTGGGGGTGTTTGCTGACTCATTGAGTGACTTTATAAGAGCAAACCCCACTCGTCTGCCTCAAAGGCATGAGAACCACCCTGGAGGACTAGAGAATAGAGGATTGAAACAAAGACGTAGGACGATTTTTGAATGTTAATTTTCTTCATTTAATTTTTAGATATACTCAGATGGAGAATTCCATCATTTTGTGGACGGATTGGACGAGGAAAAGAGTAACTGGATGCGCTATGTGAATCCAGCGCATTCCCAGCAGGAGCAGAACCTTGCCGCCTGTCAAAACGGCATGAACATCTATTTCTACACGGTGAAGGCCATTCCTGCAGACCAGGAGCTACTGGTGTGGTACTGCCCTGAGTTTGCCCGCCGTCTCAACTACCCTGCCTCTGGAGAGATTATGATGCAAAAACTCAGTAAGTTCACAAAAATGCTTACAGTATATCTGATATCTATTTGTCATAGAACCTAGACAGTTCCTAGTTATCTTCATTTAAGTCAAGGAAGACATCTCTTCTCCTCTATGGAGATAGACCCTGTTAGCTTTGTGCAAACACACCAACTTGTCTTTCATCTCTGTTAAGATCAAATTTCTTTGAACTGCTTCTATTCTCTGCCCTCTTCCTTAAGATGTTTTTGTTTAAACCAATTACACAGAATAGGAGTGTAATGTTGAAGGTATTGTTGTTTGAGGACGCTCTTTAAACATGAAAGTGCGGACTAAGTTTTGTTTTGGCCAAGCATACTAAACCAGCAATAAAAGTCTCAAAGCTAAAGTGACGAGACAGAAAAAAGATTGATACGGAGGGGGAGATTATAGGTAGGCGAACAGGCCAGTCAGTGTGACTCCTCTCCCCAGAGTCATGCGCATACCCTGGGGGCACTGGATGTAGTCGACCCCTTGAGCTCAGCTCACACACACTCTTAAGACAAGTCTATAATTACACCTACCCACTGTTGTTTGCTGCTCCTCTACCTGTAGCCTGAAGAAAGAATAATAGCCTCCGCATCTCAAAGCAAAACAGTTGCAGGTCTAAGGAAACCTAATGCATGACTCAATCTAATAGAATGGGCTGATATGACTGACAGCCTCCCACATGAAACTGGTTTAGACATTGACTTTCAATTTTACTGGCCCTGTCGGGTGTAAAATGACAGCGCAGACAGCCAACATGTATCTTGAGTCCTTTCATTCCTTTGTCATCCTGCCTCAGGACGTGTGGGAGGAACTTCTTCATTTGTTTGCCACTTTAAGAGCAAGGAGAGGCTAGTAAGAGCGTGTGCGAGAGAGAGAGAGAAAGAAAAAAAAAACTTCTCCATTGACTAGTTGAACTTCCTGGCGGCAGGGCTGTGCTGACAGATTGATATCTCTGTGATCGCCGGCTGTTTGTTTTTGGCAAGCTCTCTAGGGAGGAACAGAACTGGTACTATCTGTGGAAGAGAGGTGGGAGGGGGAACTGATAACCTCTCAGTTTGTTTACTCGTAGCTGCCGGGACAGAAGGTTAGGGAATAGAGAGTATGGTGCATCTTTTAGGGTACACTTATCTTGCGCAGACTCTTATTCACACTTGAATTCTACACAATTAACCCTGTGAAAGTTCAGTGAACAGGAAGCAGGAAGCTATTTAATTGTTTACATCCTTTTGAAGGAGATCAACAGTGAAGTATTTAAGATATATGGGAAAGTAATTTTCTAATTAGCTTTCCACCTTTCAACAAATGCGGGTGGGTTGAACGGTCAGGGTGGTTTATAATGAGTTTATTTAGCCCAAGCTTGAGAATTCTAACGTTCACGTTTGATTCACATTTGATGTTTTCCTAATGTGAGTTCCGTGAAAGCTTTTAAGCTTGGTAGAAATTTGGGAACCCATTTAAGATCGATCATTAAATAAAATCTCATTCACATTCTCGGTGGACTCTTAAAAGGAGAGATCTTGGCATGTACATCCCTATTAGCAGGATCCCATCAGTCCCCCCACACCCACTCAGTGAACCCCATTAGATAGTATCAGTGCATCCATCCCACCCTGACCGGGGCGGCTGTCAGGCCTCACATCCTGTCTGTAGACCCTAACACGAGATAATTTGTCAAACTGTCACACTAAGTGAACCACTGGGGAGCTTTGTTGAAATTTGGTTTAAGAAGGGCTATGAGTTTTCTAGGACAATAGAACTGCTCAATTGGACGAGAATTGAATTGTTTTTCTTTTTCTTGGCAAGGAATATGAAGTCAATGACTGTATTTGAAAAATAAATATATATTTACCTTTTGTTTTATTGTGTGTGTACAAACAGAGCAGAGCCTGATTGAAGCCAAGCAGCAAGCAACCGAAGTCAAGCACCCAGTGAAAAGAGAACACAGTGTTTCGGAGATTTTGAAAGATGTGCTGCAAGAACCCAGCAGACCACTTCCCACCCGTCCCCGCTGTCCCAAAAGCCCAGACCGACCTCTATACCCCAGTGCTGTCTATCCACCCCGCCCTTCCCTAAACGAGGACTTTTTAAAGAGCACCACAGTATTCGGCCTCCCCACACGCTCTCACACACAGTGTTCGGTGACACCCAGCCCGTCAGCACACAGCAGCCCTGAGAGAAGTCCAGGAAGCAGTCCGACATCAGCATCAATTGAGCCAAGAGAAGCATTTCTCCCTTTCTCTCCAGCACTCTACAATCGTGGCCTGAACCACTACCCAGGATACTCACCAGCAGGCTCCATGCCATTTTACCCAAACCCGCACTACTCGCGCTACCTCATGCACCACTACCCTGTTAGTAGTTTGAGTGGGCCATCTACATTGGGGGGTATATTTCCACACATGTATCCATTTTACAGCAGCTTGGTACCTCCTCATGTACCATTCCCACCTTCCATGCTTTCATCCGAGGGCAGTCGTCAGTTTATGCTTCCACCTGACTCTCCGGCCCCCAGGGACATTCTGCTTCCAGCAGCCACCAGTGCCTTTTCTGCAGCCACTTCTCTGAAAGACAAACCCCTGCATGGGCATGGACACCCTTACGCTCCTGCTGGTGGATCTCCAACAGCCGGCTCTGCGGCCTCTACGGGATGCATTCCCACCAAGCCTACCTCTGCAATTCTGAGCACCAGCCGCTCAGAGGATGAGGCCATCAATCTGAGCAAGATGAAACGAGGTTCCACAGGCTACAAAAGTCTTGATTACCCACTTAAGAAGCAGAATGGGAAGATCAAGTATGAGTGCAATGTTTGCACCAAGACTTTTGGTCAACTTTCTAATCTTAAGGTAAGCAAGACAACTCTGTCTCCCTTTTATTAAAACTACACATACCCTTAGCAGTACTTACAGTAGCTCACCTACCTGAACCTTTATTCTCAGGTGCACCTGCGTGTCCATAGTGGGGAACGACCCTTTAAGTGTCAGACCTGCAATAAAGGTTTCACTCAGCTCGCCCACCTGCAGAAACACTATTTGGTCCACACAGGAGAGAAACCCCACGAGTGCCAGGTAAACAACATCAATACTAATAACTTCAAACATATTTTTAAACGAGCACTACACTTGGAAATAGGCCAATTTTACAACTAACTACAGAGGATTCAATATTTAAATCGGAAAACTATCAGAACTTTTTTATGAGATGCTAATAGTCTCTTTTGATTTAGCGATTCATGCTAGGCTAATAGTGACCTGGAGATTGATTGAATGTTTTCAAAAATGATAACACTCAAATATTTAACTCTAGGAAAGGGGTAAAATGAGATGGTTTCTTTAAGATTCCTTCTTAGATAAGATTGAGATCCTAAAACTCTGCTTTCACTTCACAGGTGTGTCACAAGCGTTTCAGCAGCACTAGCAACCTGAAAACCCATTTGCGATTACATTCTGGGGAAAAGCCCTACCAGTGCAAGATCTGCCCAGCCAAGTTCACACAGTTTGTCCACCTCAAGCTGCACAAGCGGCTGCACACGCGAGAACGTCCACACCAATGCCCACATTGCCACCACAACTACATTCACCTCAGCAGCCTACGGTTCCACCTCAAGGGCTACTGCCTCGCAGTCTCTCCTTCTCCAAGCTGCAGCTTGGACGAACTCAACCGAGTCAACGAGGAAATTGAACGCTTTGACATCAGCGATAATGCCGACCGGCTAGAAGAAATGGAAGGGTTTGATGTGGAGGGCATGGTGGAGAAGCAGATATTTGGCCTGCTCTGGCAGGAGATGGATTTTAAGGCGTCTTATCACAAAGGTAGCACTGGAGGGGACCTGCACCCCCGAGCGCCTGCATTATCCGCGTATCATCTGAATGAGCATGACAGTGAAGCTTCTGTCATCAAAGTTCATCGCAGCAGCCCGATCCAACTCCTACCCATCAAGGTGAAAAAGGAGACAGAGGAGGCCATGGATACCTAGAGGCTTCCTGACCAGTTGACTGACTGAACATTCATAAGTTGTTCTTATCAAAACGAAACAAAAAAAAAATAGGCTCAGGCCTATATATTCAGGGACTTCCGTACTCAGGGCTAACAGACATTGATCATCAGTGGTCCAGTATGTCCTACACAAATGATAAAGACAATCATATTCTTTTATTATTATAACTATTATTATTATTGTTAATATTATTTGCTCTAGTGTTCATTTCAGTTTGTAATCTATTTAATTTATTGTTCAACATGTCCTCCTTCACGACCGATACATGGAAATAATGTTTACAATGACTGGTTGATTCATTGTAATTTGCTGTCTTGTATATTTCTTCTTCTCTTTCCTTTTTGTAAATAGCGTCCCGATTGACTGTGATTTCATGTGCAACTGCAAAGAGCTTACCACATTCAGGTTGATTTTTAATGTAGGCCGATGTCCGAGGTAGAACTTTTTTGTTGAAGGCATTTCTTTTTGTACCCTAGGAGAGGTTGCATATCTATGTGTACGTGTTTTACATGACAGTTATTCTTTTAATGTTGAGCTCTACCACAATTTAATGAATACAAAAAGGGCATATTATATATTACCAACAACTGTTACCTCAAATGTGAGCGAGTGAGTGTGTGTGTGTGCGTGTGTTGAGAGATGTGTGCTTGTATTGTGATATTTGTTTTGCTACTTGAAGAGGAAACCAAATGTCCCAATGTGCAGGTCTACATGCGGTCCAAAGAACAGCAGTCTGTCTAGCTGTCGCACACAGGCTGTGAGATTGACACTGACTCTGCATTTTCGTACTTATGTGCGGCACATTACTGAAAACCAAAATGATAAAGAAACGAGAATGTGGAACTGCTAACCAAAGTGAAATCTTTCAGAGTTTCAGAGATGTGTGTAAACTGTCTGTTCTGCAGGTCCGTGGTGATGTCTGTGGACTCTTCACGTCACCTCGGCCTTTTGTATGCACTGGTTTTATTTCTTTCGTCTTATGTTTGTACTTTTTGTTTTGTTTTTGTCCAGCGATGTTAGTAGGACAAAATGTCAGCGAGGCAGTACAATCTCAAACGCTCTCTGTCCTAAAGTATGACCAAAGTCTACACCTCATCTTCAGCTTTAAATTAAGAAAATAAGAGACTGTCTTTGTTTACATACTGGTTTACGTAGCTATTTAAGTACAGCTTTGACAAAATGTAAATTATAATATAAATCTTCACTGATCTAATGCATCTTTGTCGGTTGTGTTCTTTCTTTATATACACAAAGGGGAACATTGAAGTAAAAGTGAACCACTTCATAAAAAAAAAGACCACAGCACTTTCTTAAAACATCCGGCGTTTCACTTTGTAGAAATTTGGCCAGCTCTTGATGCAATCTCAGCCAGAAAACCAAAGTTTAGTATGCTAATTTAATCTAAAATCTAATGTTTTTAATATGATACAGATTTACAGTTGAAGTCAGAATTATTAGGCCCCTTTTAATTTTTTTTTCTATTTTAAATATTTCCCAAATGATGTTTAACAGAGCAAGGAAATTTTCACAGTATGTCTGATAATATTTTTTCTTCTAGAGAAAGTCTTATTTGTTTTGTTTTCGGCTAGAATAAAAGCAGTTTTTAATTTTTAAAAAAACAACTTTGGGACAAAATTATTAGCCCCTTTAGTCTACAGAACAAACCATCATTATACAATAACTTTCCTAATTACCCTAACCTGCCTAGTTCACCTAATCAACCTAGTTAAGCCTTTAAATCTCACTTTAAGCTGTATAGAAGTGTCTAAAAATATCAAGTAAAATATTATTTACTGTCATCATGGCAAAGATAAAATAAATAAGTTATTAGAAATAGGTTTTTAAAATTATTACGCTTAGAAATGTGTTGAAACAATCTTTCCTCCATTAAACAGAAATAAGGAAAAAAATAAACAGGAGCGCTAATAATTCTGACTTCAACTGTATGTAGCAAATGGGGATCAATATTTTAAGCAAAAATGTCTAATTAATAATAGATTATGGAACTGTAATTGTAAAATTAATCATAAACTGCTTTTAAAATAGTGGGCCACACATAAAAAAAGAAAATACTAGTTATTTATAGTAAATACTATAATTTTTTCGCAGAATACTATAGTAAATTGTAGTAAAGTGTATTTATTATAGCATTTACAACACTGTTAATAAATGCTGCAGCAATCAATTATAGTGAACTGACCACTGTAATGAATACTGTAGTATACTTTAGTTTTTACAACAATAAACGATGGTGTATTGTAGTATAATATACACTATAGTCGAAAAAAACTACATTATTGGGTTATTTATCTCACTATAGTTATCACATCAATTATAGTATTACCACAAAATATTAATTCAAGTATTTTACTACAGCATTGTTCCGCTTGTTAAGTGGTGACGTATGGAATATTGTTGAGCCGCTAGTCATTTGAATTTAGAAAATGTTTGTTTATGGCCACTTTTTAGTCATATCACACTTTAAAGTGGATGTTAAACAAAATGATAGTGTACACAAGAGTTTTTGGACTTGCTGCATCACAAATACCTAAATTTGACCAATTTATTAAAAATGTATCACTTTCTGGCCATCTGATATTAGACATGGATATACAGTTGAAGTCAGAATTATTAGCCCCCCTTTGATTTATTTTCTTTTTTTTCTTTTTTGAATATTTTCCAGATTTTGTTTAGCAGAGCAAGGAAATTTTCACTGTTTGTCTGATAATATTTTTTCTTCTGGAAAAAGTCTTATTTGATTTATTTCGGCTAGAATAAAAGCAGTTTTTAATTTTTTAAAACCCATTTTAAGGTCAAAATTATTAGCCCCTTAAGCTATATATTTTATGCGATAGTCCACAGAACAAACCATTGTTATACAATAACTTGGCTAATTATCCTAACTTGCCTAGTTAACCTAGTTAAGCTTTTAAATGTCACTTTAAGCTGTATAGAAGTGTCTTGAAAAATATCTAGTCAAATATTATATACAGTCATCATGGCAAAGATAAAATAAATTAGTTATTAGAGATGAGTTATTAAAACTATTATGTTTAGAAATGTGTTGAAAAAACCTTCTCTCCGTTAAACAGAAATTGGGGGGAAAAAATAAACAGGGCTAATCATTCTGACTTCAACTGTATAACGATTGTGATTTTCGAAAGCATTTCATTGCTTTGTAAACGTTTATTATTACCATTTGAAGAGTCTCCGCATTCAGTTTGATAGAGCGCTTGGACCCGGAAGCCGCTTTGCATGACGTCAAGCGTAACAAGCAGATTATAATTACGATGAATTACTTTTATGTTTAACCTTGATGATTTATTAAAAGCTCATGAAGGAACCTTATCACTATACTGTTTCCATTTGTTACTAGAGTGTGTAATAATTTAAGTTTCATCTTAGTGTAAATCCCTACATTAATAATCAAACTATTTTATTATCAAACAATATAAATCATATAATCATCTTAAATACACTCACCGGTAACTTTATTAGGCACACCTTAAAAGTACCGAGTTGGACGCCCATCAGAACTGTCTTAATCCTTTGCAGCATAAATTCAACAAGGTACTAGAAATATTCCTAAGAGATTTTGCTCCATCTTGACATAAAAGCATCATGCAGACGATGCATATTTGTCGAATGCACATCCATGATGTGAATCTCCCGTTCCACCACATCTCAACGATGCTCTATTGGATTGAGAACTAGTGACTGTGGAGGCCATTTGAGTACAGTGAACTCATTGTCATGTATGACACGCTGTATGACATCACGCGTTATCCTGCTTGAAGTAGCCATGAGAAGATGGGTACACTGTGGTCATAAAGGTAGGCTGTGGTCAATTGGCATGGGCCCAAAGTGTTCCAAAAAAAATATCCCCCACACCATTAAACCACCACCAGGAGCCTTAATCGTTAATACAAGGTAAGACGGATCCATGATTTCATGTTGTAGACGCCAAATTCTGACCCCAAATTCTGAAATCGACTCATCAGATCAGGCAAAGTTTTTTCAATTTTCCATTGCCCAATTTTGGTGAGCCTGTGCAAACTGTAGCCTCAGTTTCCTGCTTTTAGCTGACAGGAGTGGCACCTGATGTGGTATAGTACGTACTGTGGCAATTACCTCAAAAATAACGTCTCAAAATAAACATTTTACACTTTACAGTAAAGGATTAGCCTCAATACTGCATTGATTAGCATCAATACTACACACACTTGCCTCTTACATTTCTAAAGCTGATTTAAACTCTTTAAAAATATATATAAATGTTGCTTTAAAGCAGTGGTCACCAAACGTGTTCCCGAAGGGCCGGTGTCCTGCAGATTTTAGCTCCAACCCTAATCAAACACACCTGAACAAGCTAATCAAGGTCTTACTAGGTATACTTAAAACATCCAGGCAGGTGTGTTGAGGCAAGTTGGAGCTAAACCCTGCAGGGACACCGGCCCTCCAGAACCGAGATTGGTGACCCCTGCTTTAAACTGTTGATATTCACAATATGTGACTGTAGTTATTTGGAAAAAGTGTCCTACCTATGACAGTCTTTATAAAGGCATATGTTTGGCATTCTGTCAGACGTTACTTGTAACTTTTAAACAGATTCATTAAAATTAAACATTACTCCTCTTCAATTTATTCATCAGAAAATTAAGATGTATTAAAAAACAGCAACCAACAAATAACCAGTGTTTAACCATTCCTTAAAGATTCTGGCTCTGACTCTACGCATGGCTCCAGAGTAAGAATTGGGAACACAGCAAGCCCCACAATTACGAGATGCTTCATTTGCAACTTCCGATGAATAGATCCATGACTAGGCAGACAAAAGAAGCAGTCACCAAATCCAAAGCGTCAAATTCCACACCACACAAATGATGACAGTGTTAGCAATACCGCCACAACAGACTTGTAAATATATCACACCATACACATGCACATTACGTCACTGTGATAATGAAACGCATACGAATTCCAGCCAATTAAATGTGAAATCCTTCATACGCTGTTGTGACCAGCTTCCACCACAAGAGGGGTTTTTATTGTTCGCTTATGGCGTGTTTACATGACTCCTTTTTCAACTATAAGAGGAAAAACTATGTGTTTTTAGCTGTTTGTTTTCATGGCAACATTGGGACTGAAAACAACAAACTACTTAGATTCAAAGTGCAAAGTTATTGAGAGCGATACTGCCAGCAGTTATTGCCAGCAAAATACAAATATATATATATATATATATATATATATATATATATATATATATATATATATATATATATATATATATATATATATATATATATATATATAATTTTTTTTATTATTTTTTTTGTGTGAAATTGATGACATCATACATATTTTTTGTTTAGTCTATAGGCATGCGTGACTACTGACAAACAAAACAACAATGGCAGACTGCAAAAGTGTACAGGCATTTAGCGCTTCTTCATGAGACTGCAATTGATTCGATTTGTAATCTAATTAAATACGTTGCAAATGAGTCACGTTTTAAAACCGTCTGTGTTATTGTTGTTATTTGTCTAATAATATAAAAATATGAATGAATAAAGAGATCCTCTACTTAAGTAAAACTCCCACTAGGTGGTGGTAAATGTCACCACCAGTCAATAGCCCCTTTTACACATGCAGACCTTTCCGGAAAATTACCGGCAATTTTTCGGAAAGATTGTATGTGTGAACAGGTCCTTTTTGAAAATACCGGTAAATTCGTTCTGGCTATTTTCTGGAAAGAGAAGTTGTAACATTACAGGTAATTTGCTTGAATGCTGCACTGTGTGAACGCAGAAGGAAGATTGCCGGAAAGAGCGCGTGCACGTCTAGAACATGCTGACGTAAGACGTCTGCTTTAGCCAATCAGAACAGTCAGACACGTTTACGTCTGCGCGGTTTATGAGAATAAAAGCCTTTGAATATTTTCCCAGACGCATTTAGCTGCTAGAAGTTAGTCAGATATGTTCTTTTTAATGCCAACTGTGTAAATAATCATCGATAAGATGCTTATGATAAGCCGCTGTTTGTTTACCTTTCAAGTTTTGCGTGTGCCTGTGAAACGCCAGCACACGCACATATTATGAACATCTCGACATGCAAAAGTGATTCTCCATATGTTTTCATCGAAGTTGTTCACAATACTGATCATCCACAGAGTTTGTGATGTAGTCAAATGTTTACAAATACAAGCACAGC